TCCATTGTAATGATCTATCCCTGGCTTTAATACATAGTGCAGCAATGCAAAATTTGCTGTAACCAGTACCGAGGATTTATCAGTCCTCAGTCTCTGTGTTTTATTCTCATAGTGTCTGTATTAAGTATCTGCAATAATAATAATTATTGAAATTGATAGCATTTCTATTGGACTTTCCATCTGAGGATGTCTAGGGGTTTTCACAGCTATACAGAAGTAAGCCCTACAATTTGCCCTTGAGAAACAGATGGCTTTTTGCTATTATGGAGATGAGGAACTGAAGCACAGTTCAGAAGCGCGTCTTATGATGCCAAGCTTGTTTTCAAAAGTAAGTTACTTTTTTGGGTGCTAGAATTCCATCAACTTTCAACAGCTTAAAGCATTGTCAGTGCTTTGCCCATCTTCAACTTGTGTATCATTGAGGGACTCAGAGAGAACCAGAAGTCTGAGCTTAAAAAGCAACAATCAATGCTGGGGTTTTGTGTTTGTTAATTTAAGTATTTCTCTTGTGTACTAGCTCTGTGCTAGAGGAATAAACCTGATAGAATAAGATCATGTTCTAAAGCTGACCTCTTTGGTTTATTGTCCCGTATGGAGATGCCTTCTGGGCTCAGGAGGGGAGTCTTAAAGATGTCTCTTTGGCCAGACCCTGGATTTTTCTGATGCCTGGGGCTGGTTGTGAGGGCTCTCCTGAGCCCTGTGGTGCTCAGCCTGTGCTGGTGGCCCTGGAATGAACTGGCCTGCTGTACTGCCCAGGCCACATTGCAGCATACCCGTGGTGTGAAGAGCCACCTGAACTGCCCACACCTAGGGGAGACAGAGTAGGGAGATTTTTCAATGGGTTTTTCAATGGATTTTTCAACCAGACAATATTCTGTTGGCAAACAAGATGTTTAGGCAAGGACAAACTTCAGGTCCAGGCCAGCAACTGTGGTCTCTGTTGCATGTATTTTGTTCTTAAGAGGAAAAGCAACCAGCTTTTTTACTGGTTTCCACAAACCAGCAGCTGGGGTTTGTGCAGCTGCTGCCCAGGAATGTGGCCCCCAAGGCTGGGTGACTGGGCAGCTGAGCAAGAAAATGAAGCTCTGCTCGAAGTTCAGCAAGAGCAAACTCTCCAGCTACCTGTGGGCAGGGAGATGGAAAGGTGTTTGCAGGGATTGTGAAATTGTGTCAGGTTGATTATATTTCTATTAGCAAAATATCTCTGGAATAATAAATATATCAATGTCAGCAGTGTATGCTGAGATGGCAGTGCTGTTTACTCCAGGCAATCTGTGATGTGCCGTTTGTCTCTCTTCTAAGAGAGATCACATCTTTTTAAGACTTCATTTTATTGTTTTAGCTTCATGAATATGTCTCTGAACTTGGCTTGTGTTATCTGGAAGATAAATAGAGAACGAAGTATGATTTATACTATATTTTGTCAAAGTTGTTCTTCTTAGGAGGAAAAATACATTTATTGAATGCATTGAGGTTGGAATTAGCTCCTCACTGATGATGATAAATGCTTGCAGTCCTGTAAACGTGCTGAACATTAAGTTGCTAAATTGCTATACCACTTTGAGATTGATTATCAAGAATGGCCCTTTAAGCTTCATGACCTGCACATATATCCTGAGGACTACTGACATCCTGAAGCTTCCTTAATACTCTTTTTTTCCTAATTAAACTTTTTATTGAATTTTCTTACCCTTTTAATACTTGTTTTGATTCTCTTATGCACAAATGACAAAAGCCTTGCACCAGCCATGTGAGTCTCTATTTTAGAACAGTCCCACTTTGCAGGATTAGCCATTTTAATGACTTTAATCTCCTTTTGAAAGTGATTTTTCTCATTCTGCTACATTCCTTTGATTGCATTAATGTAGAATTATTATTCTAACCATCTTTGCCAGACATGTCATACCACATCTAAAATATATCTTCCCACTAAAATATTACTGTGGTAAAATACCTTAGAATTTTCTCCTTGGTTCATTATAGGTCTTTTCTTCAATTTAATATGGCAAGTTAAAATTAACAGGGCAATTATTCATTCCATAAAGAGATTAATGATAATGAGTTTTCCCTAATTTCTTCAGTTTAGGTGTTCAGTAATTTAGTATCTTGCTTGTAAAAAATCCAGGTAGGTTGTTTGTGGTGCATAAAGTTTCTTCTAAAATTCTTTTAAAACTGCAAAAGTATGAGAAAATACTGGAATAAAAATAATCTAGAAATTAAACATGAAAATTGGTAAAAGGTCTACCTGAAGCTAACAAAAGGAGTCAATCTTAGCATTCTACGTAAACACTTCCATTTTATGACAAATCCAGCTTTCCAACCTGAGAAATGTTAGGTTTTTTGAATCCAGATTATATTAGCAAAGGCTATGTGCTTCATTCACAAAATAATACCAGTACCAGCTTTCTTTGATTTTATTTTCTGAATAGCCCAATATGTTTGAAGAACAGCAGCTGGAGGGGAGCTGGCTCTATTTGAATGTTAAAACTGTATTTTGAGGTAGATCATTTAAGAGGAAAAAGAGACTTTCTAGAGATTTGTTCAGTCTGCGAGGTGGGCCAATGTAATGGCTGGCATAAGTGCATATGGATGTAAGGAAGTTAAAGCAGTTGGCCCAGCCTGTGTTACCACTGGACTTGGCCCATCGCATCTCAGGTTTCCGAGCTGAACAATGGAGCTTTATTCGGTGGGGGCGTTTGGAGAGCTCGGCCTTCTCCCGGCGCAGCCCTTGCTCTGCGTGCCGCAGCTCCGCACAAGGCACGAGCAGCCTGGATGGAGATATTTGAAATGCACCTATTTTCACAAACATTTCTGCAAACAGACATACAAAATTATTATAACTACAGCCAGTAAGCCCGAGCAGCCGTAACTAGCAAATGGTGGGGTGCTTTTTCTCTCGCTGTTTTTCTCCTCTCTCCCCCTCTCCGTAGACAGCAGCAGCGGCAGCAAACGCAACATGTGCTGCCCTAGTTCAGGCCCAGCATCCCCCTCGTGCTCCCCTTTGTCTCCTTGCCCCTGGAGGAGCCCAGCTGGTGAGAGGAGGGAATTAGGCAGCCCTGAGCTACCGGCACCTCCCCGGGGCCCCTAATCCGGGCGCTGGCAGCCGGCTGCCTCTTCCCTCCGCCGGCCCGTGGCCGCAGGCCCGTGGGGACGGAGCCCCGGATCCGGCTGGCGGCAGAGCTGGGGATGGCGGGGGCTGGGGCTCCCTGGGGGCTCCGCAAAGCTGTGCTGGCAGCGGGGTGGGCGGCGGAGGTGGCTTAAATTGGGAACATGAGGCTTTGTTGCAGCTGCAGAGAGAGAGAGAGCCGTTCATGGTGGGGGGAGTGAAGCCTGAGAAAAGTTTACATAAAAATCAGGAGCTCGTTGGCTGTGTTTTAGGCTTGGGCTCCGCCAGATTTGGAGGAGCTGGATGAGCGCAAAGACCTTGAGCATCTTAGAGCGTGGATTCTTGCTGAGAGTCGAGGTGCACTGCGGGAGCGGGAAGAAGCGGGTTCTCGGTGCCCAGCATCGCTCTGGAGCAGGAGGTTTAGTTAGATGGGGAGCAGAGCTCTCTGGGGAGCACAGAAGGTGGCAAAGAGCGGACGCCTGACCTGAAAAATAGACATCCCCATCTTGCGGGAAAAGTTGTTTGGGGTGTGCTTATTTGGTTTAGTTTTATCCAAGGTCGCTGCTCCCTTTCTTCACCTGGGATGAAGAAGCAGGTGTTGGCCAGAGCAGACGGTGCCGCAGGAGCTGCCTGGTACGGTGGTGATGCCCTCATTAGCCGAGACCTTCTTTGAGAGCTCCTCGCCGTACTTGTGCCTGCTCCGCCTGGTGACTGTAGTTGGCAGGCACGAGGAATGCACGTGTGGCAGCCTACACACACAGGCGGGGAGTTTTTTATTGTTTGGTTTAGTAAAAACTGAAGTAGGAACATTAAATGTCTTATAAGGATGGAGTATCTTGAGAACCGGCTCCTTTTTGGAGTCTCCAAATGTTTGTGTGGTCAGCGCCTTCCATCATTTACATGAACTTTATTTTTGCTTTGTTCTGTGGTTTAGTTTGATATCAGACTAGTGGCCTTTATGTTTCGCTCAACATCTCTACATTTGTTGGAATTAGGATATTTGAACTCGCTCTCTTCTGTTTCTTGTTAACAATTCTGCTAATGAAAGCTGACAACATTTTATGTATTTTTCCTGAAATGACTGTGGGGCTGCTGGAGTCGGTGCTGTATTTCTTTATGGTAATATAGAATTATAAAATATTTTTCAAAGCTTCATATTGAGTAAAGGAAATAGTTATTAAAACAGAGGCTGGGTCACTCTTGGTTTATCCTGAACTTGATTCTTTTGTGATGTCTTGAGATCTCCAGTGGTGATTTTCCTGGGCTTAAAAAAATTTGATTTTGTACCAAGAGGGCAACATTACCTTTTATACAAGTAAACATGGTAATGGTGCAGATCTCTTCTCTGATTTTCTTGAGCTCTCTCAAATCTGATGCTTTTATTCCACCTAGATGTTCAACTCTGCCTTTGAGCAGCCTTTCATTCTGTTACAGTTTTGAGACAGAACTGAAGGATTTTTTTAATGGAGACATTACTTAAAATCATCTTGATGTAGCACTTAACAGACCCACAAATTCACAGGTGATCACTTAACACTGTAGCTTTCTGAAATGTTTGTATTGCTTCATTGCACATTGTGTTTCGCTTTCTTTATTCATTGTTTATTGCTTTACAGTACGGTGAGCAGGTGTTAAACCTGCTAAAGAAAAATGCTTTTTATTAACACTATATGTTGGCATATCTGTGAATTATGTGTACAAATATATTTTTATTTCTCTTTCTCAAACCTCCTTTCAAATTCAAGAGGGTTTATTGGGGTTTTTTTTGAGTTGATTTTTTTTTTTTTTTTAATGCTGTAGTAGCAGAAGCCCATAGTGTTGTTGAGAGCTTTGTCCTTATTTCACAGATGCACTGGGAATTGTTTTTAATCTCCTTTCTGCTTTCCCATTACAGATGGTGATGACGACCCACAACTCTCCTGGGTGGCTTCATCTCCCTCCAGCAAAGATGTTGCATCACCCACTCAGATGATAGGAGATGGGTGTGATCTCGGCATCGGGGAGGAGGAAGGGGGGACTGGCCTGCCATATCCCTGTCAGTTTTGTGATAAGTCCTTCATTCGCCTGAGCTACCTTAAAAGGCACGAGCAGATCCACAGTGACAAACTACCTTTCAAATGCACCTACTGTAGCCGGCTTTTTAAGCACAAGAGGAGTAGGGATCGCCACATAAAGCTTCACACAGGGGATAAAAAATACCATTGCCACGAATGCGAGGCTGCATTCTCCCGCAGCGACCACCTCAAAATCCACCTGAAAACCCACAGCTCCAGCAAACCGTTCAAGTGTACTGTGTGTAAACGTGGGTTTTCATCTACCAGCTCATTGCAGAGTCACATGCAAGCTCATAAAAAGAACAAGGAACATATGGCAAAGACTGAGAAAGAGGTGAAGAAGGATGATTTTATGTGTGATTACTGTGAAGAGACATTCAGTCAGACTGAAGATTTGGAGAAGCACGTAATGACACGCCACCCACAGCTTTCCGAGAAGGCAGATTTGCAGTGTATTCATTGCCCTGAAGTATTTGTAGATGAAAACTCGCTGCTCTCACACATTCATCAAGCCCATGCCAACAAAAAACACAAGTGCCCTATGTGCCCAGAGCAGTTTTCTTCAGTGGAAGAAGTCTATTGCCACTTGGACAGCCACAGACAACCTGACTCCAGCAACCACAGCATCAGCCCTGACCCAGTCCTGGGGAGTGTGGCATCCATGAGCAGCGCAACGCCCGACTCCAGCGCATCGGTGGAAAGAGGTTCCACTCCAGATTCAACCTTAAAGCCTTTGAGAGGACAAAAGAAAACCAGGTCTGTTGACAGAGAGGAAGGTCAGAACTGGTCTAAAGTTACTTACAGCTGCCCCTACTGCTCAAAGCGTGACTTCAACAGCCTCGCTGTTCTGGAGATCCATCTGAAGACCATTCATGCAGACAAACCTCAGCAAAGCCACACGTGCCAGATCTGCCTTGATTCCATGCCTACACTGTACAACTTGAATGAACACGTGAGAAAAGTGCACAAAAACCATGCCTATCCCATGATGCAGTTTAGCAACATTTCTGCCTTTCATTGTAATTACTGCCCGGAGATGTTTGCAGATATCAACAGTTTGCAGGAACACATCCGCATTACTCACTGCGGCCCAAACGCTACCCCTCAAGATGGCAACAACGCTTTCTTCTGTAACCAGTGCTCCATGGGCTTTCTGACCGAAGCTACCTTGACTGAGCACATCCAGCAGACTCACTGCAATGTAGGAAATTCAAAATTGGATTCCCCTGTCATTCAGCCAACACAGTCTTTTATGGAAGTTTATTCATGCCCTTATTGCACAAACTCCCCCATTTTTGGCTCCATCCTGAAGCTTACAAAGCATATTAAAGAAAACCACAAGAACATTCCTCTGGCACACAATAAGAAGTCAAAAGCAGAGCAGAGTCCAGTTTCTTCTGATGTTGAAGTCTCTTCCCCTAAAAGGCAGCGGCTTTCTGCAAGCGTAAATTCAGTGTCTAATGGCGAATACCCGTGTAATCAGTGTGATCTAAAGTTCTCAAATTTTGAAAGTTTTCAGACCCATTTAAAGTTGCATTTGGAGTTGCTGTTGAGGAAACAGTCTTGCCCTCAGTGTAAAGAAGACTTTGATTCCCAGGAGTCTCTTCTGCAACATCTCACTGTGCATTACATGACAACTTCCACTCATTATGTATGTGAGAGCTGTGACAAACAGTTTTCTTCAGTGGATGATTTGCAGAAGCATTTGTTGGACATGCATACTTTTGTGTTGTATCACTGCACCCTTTGCCAAGAAGTTTTTGATTCCAAGGTATCTATCCAAGTGCATCTGGCAGTGAAGCATAGCAATGAAAAGAAGATGTATCGTTGCACAGCCTGTAACTGGGATTTTAGGAAGGAGGTGGATCTCCAGATTCATGTGAAGCATAGTCACTTGGGTAATCCATCAAAGTCTCACAAATGTATCTTCTGTGGTGAGACCTTCAGCACAGAGGTAGAACTGCAGTGCCACATCACAACCCACAGCAAAAAATACAACTGCAAGTTTTGTAGCAAAGCTTTTCATGCCATCATCTTGCTTGAAAAGCACTTGCGGGAAAAGCATTGTGTCTTTGATGCTAGTGCTGAGAATGGTACAGCTAATGGCATGACCCCAACGAATAAGAAGACAGAAGGGGCAGATATCCAGAATATGTTAATGAAGAATCCAGATGCTTCCAACAGTCATGAAGCCAGTGAGGATGATGTGGATGCTTCTGAGCCCATGTATGGTTGTGACATTTGTGGGGCTGCCTACACTATGGAGGTCCTCTTGCAGAACCATCGCTTGAGAGATCATAACATCAGGCCTGGGGAGGACGACTGTTCTAGGAAGAAAGCAGAATTCATCAAAGGCAGCCACAAGTGTAATATCTGCTCAAGGACCTTTTTCTCGGAAAATGGCCTGAGAGAGCACATGCAGACCCATCGAGGCCCAGCTAAGCACTACATGTGCCCCATCTGTGGGGAGCGCTTCCCATCGCTCCTGACCCTGACGGAGCACAAAGTCACTCACAGCAAGAGTTTGGATACAGGGACATGTCGGATCTGCAAAATGCCGCTGCAGAGCGAGGAGGAATTCATCGAGCACTGCCAGATGCATCCAGATCTCAGAAACTCCCTCACTGGGTTTCGCTGTGTTGTCTGCATGCAGACAGTCACCTCTACCCTGGAGCTGAAAATTCATGGGACGTTCCATATGCAGAAATTGGCAGGAAACTCCGCAACCTCATCGCCTAATGGCCAGGCCTTGCAAAAACTCTACAAGTGTGCGCTGTGCTTGAAGGAGTTCCGGAATAAACAGGACTTGGTAAAGTTGGATGTGAACGGCCTTCCCTATGGCCTGTGTGCTGGATGCATGACCAGGAGCACCAATGGACAGTCTTCAAGCTTGACTCCACAGGAGGTGAATGAGAGGCCGTGTGGCAGCCTGAGGTGTCCAGAGTGTAGTGTCAAATTTGAAAGTGCTGAAGACCTAGAGAGCCACATTCAGGTCGACCACCGAGACCTGACACCTGAGACCAGTGGCCAAAGGAAAGGTACCCAGACGTCCCCTGTTCCCAGAGTAAGTACAGCTGAACTTTGAAGTGTCTGAGGGATAAAATGCAGACATTAAATGTAAGAACTGATCTGATATTATATTTTTTTAAATTGTCACTTTATCAAATCACTTGTGCTACTAAAAAAACATCAGCAAAACAGGAGGAAGGGTAGAGTAATTCACATAAAACAATGAGTTCAGCCTCACAGGCCCCTTGATTCCTAGTAGCAGCACATCAGATTTTTTACAGCAGAACTGCCTTAGATTTACCAACAGAGAGCTGAAACACTTGGGCAGTGGGGATTGCGTTTGTCCATGAATTCTGATTCTACTCAGCTGGCAAATCTGGAAAAGCTGGGGTAGTTTAATGAAAAATGGAGATGCTGAGTACCCAAAACAATAAAAGAATCTAATCTGTCATATTTGAGAAATGAGATTATTTCTTACCAGGAAAATAATAATAAACAGGAGGATAGAGGAACTTGTGAGGGAAAATGTAGCGAACTCCATCCTACTCTCCAAATTCTCACCTAAACCAAGCTTCTGTGCTAAAGAGCTTGTCCCTAGGAATGTCTGTCAGAGTGAATGTTTTGAGGTTACTTGGAGGTCTGTGTGCACTTGTGTGAGCTTGTTTGTGTATGTGTGATTTTAAAATGACTTTAAAAGAACCTGCTTCATGGCCCTTCTGCAGAGGCCAGTAGGGGTAAGTAGTTTCTTAGCAAATCTGCACATTGTCTGATGCAGATTACATAAAAGTGTGCTGTCCTTGACTTTTTCCAGATAGCCTGCATTCCCATTTCTTAGCTTACAAGTTACTTGGGAACATGCAGATCCAAGTAAGGTTCCAGAAGCCTACTCAGGAGATTAATATCATTTGCAGTTTATAGTCTTTTTAAATTATTTGTTGACGTTTTGGTTCAAGAATGGGCCAAGTCAGTCCTTCCTCTGTCAGGAACAGATGGAATGAGAAGTGGATTTTGGAAATCTTCTCAGGAGACCAGCAGCAGACACATCTGAGTATTGATATCATCTGACATTTTTAATTAAACATGATGGGGTGAGATTTTCAAAAGTATCTAAGGAAATTAGGCACCCAACTCCTAATGAATAATTCCAGCCGTAGATGCCTGTTTATGTCAATCTGCTAATTAAAGCACCCACAAACACATCTTACTGAATTAAAAGCACCTGAAAATACTATCCATTCAACTAGAACGCCAGAGGCTCGGTAAATAAGAGGGCCCAAGGACGTGGACTGAGGTGCCTCCAAGGGAGCTGGTGCTGGTTGTGTCCCTGGCAGGACCTGTTACCCCTGCTCCGTGTGGGGCAGCAGCATCCAGCTGGGCTGGGCTGGACACAGCCATGCAGGAGCAGTGCCCTGATCCAGCCTCCTGAACCAATCCCACCGAAAGCTTGATTTCTTTTCTTGTTCTCTCTCTTTCGGTAAAACCACTGGATATTGTTACCTTTGGGTGTGACTAGGCATCCAGGCACACACAAATAATTTTGCAGAAGAATGAGGAATGGAAATATCCCTCCTTTGGTGTGATACCTAGGTCTGGCTAGGTCACTGTCCTTCTTCCTCCTCAGGACTTTATTTTCTTCTAAATTCTTGAAAAATACCTCTATTCTATTACGTAGGACTAATTCGTATTGCTGCACCTGTGGAATTACCTTTCCTTTCCTATCACCTAGCAGTGATACATTACCATTACACATTACCATTTCCTGTCTTATTTCTTGCTTTAACTCTTTCTTTTCAGTGACAGCTTCTATACTTATTCTCTCAGGGGAAAATTTTAAGTTCTTCAATAAAGTAAATGGTTTGAATTTCATCCCATGAAGGAAGTTCTGAGTTTCTTTGTAGAAGATAATGAAAAATCATCATTTGTAACAATGGCAAATGGTACCTTACAGGTGTCTATGGCCTGTACATATGATAATATCAGAGATAAGCATCCCAGGAATATATATTGTTATTAGGAATAATTCATTATCTTACCCTTCATAGTAGGTACAAGACCTCTGATATCAGTTCACTAGAAAACTATTGGTGTTTCACTCAAGGTTCTGAAGTGCCCTTTGTTTTGCCTAGTAGAGGGATTTTCAAAGAATTATACTGACTTTTAAATGGTGATACATCTCTGCATTCAAGAACAGTGTTTGCTTAACTTCATTGGCTTCATAGCAAAGCTAAGCAAGTTGAACATGAATTCTCTTGTCATCTTGTTAGTGTGCTGCACACAGGTAAAATTCCACTTTAATAGAGCAATCTGTAGTGCACAGTGCATGTAGAGCAATCTGTGTGTGTTCAGAGAAGAGCTACTTCTCTCCAACTCTTGAGTATTTCTACATTTCATTTTTTAAACTCCTTATTTATTTTTCATTCTTCAGTAGAAAAGCACCTGAAGATTAAGACAAGGTACAGTCAGAAAGAACATACAGGTAGATTAGATTTTTAAGTAGTGGGTATATATTTCAGAGTAAATAAGAATAAGCAGAATGAAATCCAAGCAAATGGAAAAGATGATAATAACATATAAAATCTGTAACTTCTTTCTATGTCAGAAGTTGCTCCACTGGCTGTTATTTACTTTTTGACAGAAGAGGTGAGTGTGGAAACTTAAAGGAATTTCAGGAAAAAAAATTAAATGAAGATTTAACCCCAAAGTGAAAGAAAGGGATAAAATGAATATTAATAAAAATAAATGTTAGCCCTTGATGAATAAAAAGCATTTGGTAAGAATAAAAGAAGAAACAGAACAATTCTTTCTTATTGTAGGTATTTAAGTTTGTGAGTATATGCAAGTTTATATTGCACTACAAACAAAGTATGATCATTTTGTTCTATTTTGTTTTGTTTTTTTACTATTGAATTATTTAAGGTTTTATTTTGAAGATTAGGAGACAGCTAGAGGAGCATTGAAAAATACTCAGAGTTGCTTGGCAGTTCTTTTAATCCATAAGAATGAAAGAAAGCACATAACCCTTGAAAATCCTGCTGTGTTCTGTCTTCCTCACATTTTTAGTGTGGCCAACAAAGAGGAAGAAATACCTGTAAATTGATCATATTTATTTCTAGGATGCCTACCTAGGATCCATTCATGTTGATCAACAAGATAGATTTCCAGGCAGAAATAGTTTTGCAGCGTGTATATGGCAACATCCTCTTTGAAGGATTTGTTTTCAGGAGTTTTAAGACAAGACAATAGTCTTCTGCAAAAGACATCACTAAGAGGAATAAAAAAAAATATATATCTTAGTAGTAAAAGATTTGTCTAGCATCCATTTTTCATTCATATAGTTTTGTGTGAGCTATTCTGTTTGGATAGGACTGAAAGTGTTTTTCATATGAGCATCACAGGTAAAGGAATCATTCCAGTATCTGACACTAGTTCAAGGCCTTTTTTGTATTACATTAAGATCTCATCAGAGGTGATGCTTTCCTGTTTTTCTGAATATCTTTCTGTGTGTAGCATCTTCAGTTTTGAATACATTTTATTCATTCATTTCCACGTGCCTTCTAGAGGAATGTGCATATCTTAAGAAACATGACTAATTTATTAGTATAGAGATTTTTCATTTCCTAATACTGCAGTCACATTTCAAGCTGTTCTTTCTCTTACACAGATTTATCTTTATTTTGTACCACAGGTATATAATGAAAAATGCTTGTTTAACATTGACAGTGGCAAATGTTTAGACTTCCATTAAGTTTTCATCTTGAATGGTGTTACTATTTTTAGCCCACCTAGGTTATTTGGAGTGAAGAAGCAAAGGAGGTAGCATAGAAAGTTGGAAGAATAAACCCTATTGTGTTCCTTTATTCAGTTTCTTTTCTCCAGCACACTTTCTTGGACTCAGTTCCTTCTCTTTGTTCTCCCCCACAACCCTTCTCTTCCCTTGTAAATCCACTTGAATGGAGGAATATTTTCTTTGTAGAACAGGAAACTATTTCCAGATTTAAAGGAGGATAGTCTGGAAAACCCATGGGAACAATAGATCCTTCAGAAAAGAAAACAGAACCCTCTGTTGTTATTACTACAACTGTGTGCCAAGGTTAGAATTAAATATCTTGCATTTGTGGGGAATGAGCTCTCAGCTGAAGGCCTGCTCATCTGGTCTCTTTTATCACCTAGAAGTCATCACCTAGACTTTGTTTGCTTCTTAGAGGGTGGGCACCTTCATTGTCACCACTTGTGAAAATAAAACTTTAAAAAAAAAAGGTTACTGATCCATTAATAATGTTCATAAAGCAGAAAAATGATAGTAGATCATATTTGGTACCACAACTAATTATAGTTGTATTAAAACTAGTGCTCCCCATTTACTGATAACAGAAAGATGTTTTGTGACATTCTTTTAAAGGCAGTTCTTAATGAGCCAAAAAATCAGCTCATCCACCTCTTGCATATCCACTTGGGTGCTAATCTAAGCTATAGTTATTTTGAGACCAGTATAGGCCATTTATTAACCTCTCTCCATGTCAAGTGGGGTGCCTTGTCACAGGAGCCATCACCTTGCTTAAGCTGCTCGTCTGCATGCACAGGTCTCAGCTGAGGCTAAAGGTAGCACAGAGGGGAAGTCTGAAATCTGCTGAGGGCTCCTCATGGCAATAAGAGTGTTTTATAAGATTGTGAAATGGTGTGGAGGAGTTAGCTCTGGGTCTGTGGATAAACAAAGACATCCTGTCTCCAGATCTGTTAGTGAGTAGCTTTCAGAAGCACTAAAATCAATTAAAAAATGAATAATTTGTCTGTGTTTGATATAACTTTGAACGTTTGAAGTAGTCAGGCTGAAATACTGTCCTCTAGCTGGTTAGTGAGGGAACCCTTGTAGCTGAGATAAGCATTGGACGAGGCACAGAACTTAGCTTTGAAGTTTTAAGGAAGTGGAAGGTTTCAAGTTTTAAAGTTGACCATGTAACCACATGAATCAATCACTACCCAATCCTGTTTTGCTCCTTCAAGGGTTTTTGTGTTTTGTTTTGTTTTTGAAGTTAGGAGCCCTCAGTGTGTGTGCACCAGTGTGTTTGAGAGGATATGTGTATGTACATGTGCTGTGCTCATCCGCCAGAAGAGATTCCCCAGAAAGAGTGCTGCAGAATCCAGCTGCTTTTCCATTAACAGCCTTGATTTCCAAATGGACTCCAGGAGGATACTTTCTTGAGCTGCCTAGGGATAACTAGCCAATCCAAATTATTTCCTTTTATATGGTTGGCTGTGTCAGCTTTCGGCCAATGGGGTATAGCCTTCTTCCTATTATCATGTTAATCACCCATTGTTGTTTTAGCCTAGAAAGCCCTGCCTAAGCAAACACACACTGGTACAGAATTCATGGAATATGCCTAACTTCCATAGGCTGGTGCCTTTGTTATTATGGTGTTAGAGCCTGTTCATTAACCTCCAGCAGGCTACCTTGTTGCCATTGATGACATGGGAAGTAGTTAAACTCTTGGTAGCACCTAATTTGTTCTTTACTCAGCAGGTGCTTGAGGAAATTGGATGCCATGCACAGAGGGGGTGACGGCAACTCCTCTGTTTAACTCAAAACTTCTGACTTATTACTGCTGTCCTAAAAATGGGGCTCTATACCTGGGTGTGGGGTGGAGACTGAAGAAAAACTAATGTGCATCGAAAAGTACACAAAAAGTACCCTCAAAAATATTTTCCTTCAGAAGGTTAAGAGGGTGTTTACTCAATTGGGCTTCTCAGTGCTGTTGGTTGGGGTTCTCTTCCATCCCTTGTGGCCAGCACATAGAGATTTCACGTGTGTTCTGCTGCCACCAGCTTTGGCCGTGGGGATGCAGACCTCATACTTGTGCCTAGTGGCAATTGCTGCAGTAAGAATTATTCTCCAGAAACAAGTAGGTACAAAAGGCCAAATTATTCTAAATTGCACATCAAAAAATGTCTATTTAGATAGCATATTCCCATGCAGTAAATAAGCATGTACATCAAACCAAAGCACCATACTCCCACTTTGGGAAATAAGACTTTTTGCAAGTGTACCAAAGCTTAGCCTTCATGATTTTTGGTTCTTTTTTTAAATTTTTTTTTCCTGAATTGGATGTCCAACTTGTCAACATTCATTTTAATTTCTGCAAATGGTTTCTCAGATTTTTTCCTGCCACATTGCACAAGTACACGCGTCATTGTAAGTCTGAGTGCAAACCCCATTTTCCGTTTAAATAAATGGTTCATGTAATTGCCTCTTCACACTGTCTCCTGACTTCTGCAGCTAGGCCTCCCTGGTATGACTTTGAGATGGAAAAAATACAAACAGATTGTACCAGGAAAGAGTTCTTTTTGGTAATGTGGTTTTTTCCAAGATTTCTGATTAGAGACCTATACAAAATGCATTTTTTCCTTCACTGTAGTAATTATATATATATATATATATATATATATATATATATATGGTAACTATAGGTGCTCTGCTGACTCTGAGTTTAATGAAAGGTAGAATTTTTTGAGAAAGTTGAACTTACTCTGAAAACAGTTACTTTATTTTATTTCACTCTGGGGGAATTTTACTGCAGTGGGTTAAATAACAGATGCAATCTTGTGGCTCAGGTACTCAATCAGATTTTCAAGTAGTGTAATTTGAAATTTTTTAAGTTGAAATTAAAATTTCTCCTAAAGCAGGTTGTTAATTAGAGATTGTGTTTATGGTCCCAGAAAAGGCTGGCCTGGGGATATATGGGCAAAAAAAAAGCCGAAGTGGAGGAAACTTGAAGCATATAACATGCTATATTCATAATCACATTTGCCTTATGCTACAGTGCAGTTTTCTCTAATCTCTTTTTGGTTATTAAACAGAAAAAGACCTATCAATGCATCAAGTGCCAGATGACCTTTGAGAATGAGAGAGAGATACAAATCCATGTCGCTAACCATATGATTGGTAAGACATTCTTTACACTAGGCCACTCATTGGCTGCTTGTTTTTTGCTACTCTTTGACTTTCACTATTCTAATAACTTGTTAATATTCATGCTGTAATTTATTTTTTATTTTTCAAGGAAAATGATTTTGATGTAATGATTCTTCACTTCAAAGCTTTTCAAATATGTGGTTATAAAAATGTTACTGCTGAGCTTTTTCCTTATCCTTTTGAGTCCTCATGTAGCATTTCCATTTATATTAAAATCAAACTTTTGACAGTATCTTCCATTTGATAGCATAAATTTCTCTGTGTAAAAAGTACTTGCCAGTTGTCAACCACTTAGGAGCAATTATGTTTCAATTTTGTATGTCATGACATTGAATAGATGTAACTGCTAGCATTTTTCCAGCTAAGTGTGGTGAATTCCTGAGGAACATTGTCAAAACAAAACACTTACAGAGTTATTTCAGTGGGTTTTTCTGCTTTTTCCAGCAATTCTGGACTTCAGAAGGTTCAGCTTTTCAGACATACCAGTGTTTTAAAATCAGTGCTTTCTGCCTTCTGTGACAGTCCTGTCACAGGAGTTAGTAAAAGCATTGTTGTAACCTGATGGGTTGAATTTCTGCTGCAGCTGTATGATTGCTTCTCTAATGAACACAAAGAAAGGTCTTTTCCTGTATGGACAGATGTTATAAATATATGTGTTGGCCCAAGAGGCCAGTTTATTTTTGTGCTTAGACCACAAGAAGATACTTACACATGCCACTGTAAGCATGTGTTGGATGAGACCCTTCAAGGACCTGACAGTGCTCTCTGTGCCTCACACCTTCCTATCCAGCATTTATCTCCCATCAGCATAATGGTTTTCCTTCTGCAGTTTTACATTTAGGAAATCATTCTCCCATCAATTCATGTGTGTAACTCCTATTAGCTTTGAAGTGGATTATGCATAAATACCAGAGAGAGGGAAATATGGACTGACACAATCTTCAAACCCCCTACCCCCAAATGAAAAACATACATGTCAGTCACAATCATTTTCATGCAAGAGCCAGGCAGGAGTTTTAAGTTAATGTCAAGCAGGTTAAGATAAAGATATCTAAAAATGTTTGCTTTTGTAGCAGGTGTTAATGTAATCTCTTGTTTGCAAGCTTGAAGAGTGAGATCCTTGTTAATTGGACCACGGTGATTTCATGTAGCTCCCTCCTAGATTTTAAGAAAGAAGTCCTTAGCAAGCTTAGCACTTGTTTCAACTTAATTTGTGATCCAGTAGCTAAAAAGTGATTCTTAAATACAAAGGTCATGAAATACTGAGTTAAGGTTCTGCTTGATTCAAGGGGAACTATTTTTTTTCTTTTGGAAAAATATAATTTCTTCATTTTCCAGTAACTAATATGTGAAGTTTATATATGTGTATGCCTATATTGGTGCTGTCTGGAATAACATCAATTTTATACACATGACCTTACAAAGTTCTTGGCACCATTGGAAAACAACAGGTGTAGAAGGCATAGGAGGCTGTGAAAATTGTGATGCTGTTATTTGTGAAAACTGTACCCATTGTTTCCTTGAAGCTGTGCATCAGTTACTTTAGTATTTTGAAGAACTCAATATAGTACAAAAGTACTATGGGCCCAATTCTGTACACATAGAACATTGTAAATACCAGGATGTGGTAAGAAAATATGTGATAATTCCACTGTGGTGTCATATATTTGCGTCCCTTTACTGAGGTACAGACTGAGGGTGTGCATTGAGGTCATCACTGCCTTCAATGGTTCAGTCTAGGAAAGAGCAAAGTGCAGAAACCTTTAATGTGGAGCCAAACTTCCTCTCACTCTGGGCATCTCGGGTCACAAGGCTCCTCGGCCCCCTGTCCTTCAGGACATGCAAATGCTCACAAAAAAGGTGTTTCCAGTGAGCTTGCTCATTGGTATTTGTTCTTTACTGGGGAATACTGAAGGAAAAAGGAGAGGCTAGATGTCAGCATATCTCAAGCAATAAATGCTGAGCAGATTTTTGGTGTTAATTTACATAGTCCTGGGTCAGTAACAGTAGGGGGAGTGACTAAGTGCCTCCTGTGCTGGTTCCATCCCCCTTGGTCATAGCCTGAGCGCTTTGTTCCCTTATTCAGGCCTTAGGACAGACTGGCACGTGCCTCCTTACTACTTAGGCTGGTTTATCACTCATAAGGGGTGCAAGAGTTTCTCTTTTCTGTGTTAGACCAAGTCTAGCCAGGTGGGCAGCAAGAGAAAGAAGCTAATATAGCTGTTTCTGCAGCCCAGGTCTAATTCACAGGAATTATGAATGCCATCGTTGCCAATTTAAAATCTACAGATGAGGATTTGTTTGTGCTGGGGGGACACGGATCACAGGGTGAACGTACAGGTGTTTGGGAGGCAGGAGCAACTTACCCTCAGACTGTGTGTTCTTAGGAACTTAGGGCTGGCCTCATCTCAATGAACTTGTATCTGTCTAAAGCTAGGGTGTCTGGTTTAATATAGTCATTGAGATGCTGTCTGGGGAAAATGAATGATTGATACCAATCTAAGATAAGAGTTTGAGTAGGATAAGCATTTCCAGGGAGAGATTTTTATCTCTCTTTTGAATTTGAGGAGAGCCAAGACAATGAAGTTAGCCTTGACATGTAATTTTTTAGGTTAAAAAATCCCTTGGCTTTGATAATCCAAGAGTTCTCAGCACTTTCTTCTCATACTTTGAGAAACACAAAATCAATAGTTGAGATATCTTAAGCACTTACTTACAGTTTTATTCTGCTCAAGTGACTGTCAACAAAGGAATCCCTGCTCTGTAACAGCAATACCTTTTAGGTAGCTGCATCCATAATATTATTAAAGAATTAAATTATTTCTGACATCATGGTCTTAAAAACTGCATCCAGTTAAGTTGGCTGTGCCTCTCTCTTCAGCCTCTCAGATTCCCAGTCTGGAGCTGGAGGCCCTGTTCATAATTCATGGAGGTAGGGGGTTTATTTTTTTCAAAGCAGTATGCAGGGAATTTCCAGTGCTACTCCCACACACTGCTTTGAAAAATTACCCCGCTGCACTCTAGCCCTTCATATCCTGTGCACAAACACAGAGGCACATTGGGTCCTTCACGGGATCCCCAGGGAAGGAGCAGGCTGGATCCATCCCCAGAGGAGGGAAACGGGAGATGTTTTGTTTCAGTTTATGCTGGGGCCTGTAGGAGGGCTCTGTGTGGCAGAACAGACCTCCTCAGCTGGGGTTAGGCAGGAAGGGATCTGTTTAGGAAGGTTTTCAGCTGGGGGGGATAGTTCGGGTTGGAATTTTTAGAGAGCAGTGGTCTTTGAAACATTGCACCGATTGGGGCTCCTTTGAAACATTTCCATGCCCACAGAAAGGGGATCCCCCTTTGAAACATTTACAGGCATTGGGGAGTCCACCTGGGACTATATCAAAAACTTTCAGTAGTTCTTGCTGCCTCTGTACTTGCTTACCTCCTGTTGCGCTGACCTGGCAATGTTTAAAGCTTCTCCCCCTTCCCTCCCCACCTAGCTCTCCTCTGATGTGCCGTCTCTATTAGATGCAGGGGAGGATGGGCCTGCGGGCCCTGGGCTCTACGGGGGGCACTGAGCAGCCATGGCAGCAGCCAAAGTGTGGAAATCCGGCAGTGCAGCCTCTGCCCGGTGGCTGTGGGAGCCCTGGAGCTTCAGTCTCCATCGCAGGGCCACCGCCAGGTCCCCGTGTGGGCAGTGGCTGCTCCCATCCTGCGCTGCCAAGGGAAATGCGCTCAGTGCCCTGTGCAGGGAAATAAGGATTAGGCCCAGGGTTTTCCTGTTGGGTTTTTACAGCTGTGCTCTTCCCACAGCCAGGCTGGGTTCCCTAACTGATATATTTCAGGGTGCACATAATTCCACAGATTTGTTCTTTGTATGGGTCAGGTTGCCCATATCAACGGGAAGGGTGTTTGGATCCCTGCTGGAGTTCTCAGCTCTTGGGTAAGAGAAGTGGACGCAGCAGTACTTCTCTCTGTCCCAGTTAGATGAGGCATGTTTTCTATTTAACGTTCAAAGAAGATGAGCAACTGTCCCAGCTCTTTCTCCATTCTCCAAGAAAGTCTCCTGGCAAATGTGCACAGGAAGCTCAACTGGAGCTCAGTTAGTGCTGGAACATGGATTGTGATTGAAATAATGATTCCTGGTTTGTGCTCTAACGCTGGGATTGCTGTAACATTCCTCCTGCCTCCAGTTCCAAAGGAATGTTAGTGTTTGTGGGCTCATGAGAGGCTGTCCCAGTGCTCAGAGCTCAGCAGAGCCCTTCCCCAGTGCCGCTTCTGTCCTTCCCTGTGGAATTGCCAGTGCTCCCTGCCAAGACCCAGGAATGAGCGCTGGTGAGCAGGGCAGGAGGGGTGCAGGCTGGATGTGGTTGTGATGTGAACGTGAGGCCCTGTTTGTGCTTTGGCAGCCACCAGGGACAGAGGGGAGTGCTGAAGGGAAAGCTTCCAGAAGTCACAGAGAAATTATTCCATGGACCAGTTCTTGAACTGCAGCCTGGATAAATTCCTCCCTGTTTGATGGGATGGCATTGACAAAGTTAAACACCGTGTTTGGGAGGGCTTTCTGAGTACTGCCCCAAGCCACAGCATATCATACGTTGTGTGTAGCGCAGGACTCCAAGGATCTTAATTACCTTTCCTGCCCTTAGAGATCACGTTTCAAGTTCTGGAAACACTCTGCCAGAATTAAACACAAAAGAGAAGGGAAAACATCCATCCACAGTTACATTTCTTTCAAATGCATAGAAGTATTTGAAACAAAACAAGAGCTAACTATAGGTTTGTTATTCTGTTAACATGTTAAAATAACATATTTTAAAATAGCAAAGTAAGTTGGGTGCTTGGAAAAGGTCAAACTGCAGTAATAACAACTACAGAAATAATTTTCTAAAAAGCAGCAATTTAGAAAACTCATTTTATGTTCGGAAGAGTTAGCAGCGGATACCAGGCTCAGTCGCAGAGATGAAACCCGTACAGAGGTG